TGTGATGAGGGAAGGCAAATCCACTTTTGGTTTTCATCCTGATTCCTGATCTGATTTTCATAAAATCAAAGTTGAAATCGGCCCTGTATAACCTCTACATTCTTCTCTATAAATTCTCTGCGGTATCCAGTACTTAGACAAATCCGCGTCAGTTTGTCTAACTCCTCGTCCCAGAACTCTTTGTCTGAGCTGTCCTACTCACAAAAATTGTCGTATGCACCACATTGAAACATTGAATCAGAGAATTTCCACAATTTACCAACGTTTTCCTTACTAATTTGACGGAATCGTAAGAATTCATTATTGAAAGCTTTTAGGTCTTGTAGATCTGCCTATACTGGAAACCAATGAATCCTGATTTTTAGTGCACCAAGCAGACTTTTACCCACCTGATGAAGTGAATTTGATAGGATCTCTTCAATGGAAATGAGGAATCAATTGTTGGACAGGTTTAAGACTTTACAGTCTAATCCATATTTACCATTTACTTCTTTAGATGCTACTTGTTTATTTCCCCTTAAGCTAATTCTTAGTGCCGACTTTTTTTTATTTTCCTATGATGTGTATTTTTTACCTGCTGAAAAACTCTATCATACCACTTAGTTAAGTCCTCTCAACTAAAAGCTTTATATCAAGTTTCTTGAGTCCTGTATCAGGCTAGACAATCTGGAAATAATTCTACTCATGGAACATAGTTTTATAAAACGAACGTATTTAACTCGCCTAGACATTGGTTTTTTGGCCTCGGTGCAGTTTGACATGTTTTGATATGATTTGTTATCATGCTTACTTAGTATATATGAAGAATTAATTGATTTCAAAGCTGAATCTAAAAAGTGAATATCCTTGAAATTCTTTTTTCCAAGAAAAATTCTAAAATCTTCTATGAACCTAAAGTAGCCAGCAAAATTATATGATTCCACAGAGGTTGCAAAATTTAACATACGAATTAAGTATAATTGCAGTTGACAACCTTTCTTGGTCAATATTTTTGTGTGATTTATTTCACAATTTATTATTTTTTTCGGATGATGTCTATCACATTGCAGACGAAAGCTCAGCTTAGATTCATTGGAGTCAGAAAACGGTGAATCAAAGGTTCCTTTACCAAATGCAACAGTTACACATTTAGGGAAATCTCCTATTTATTTCCCCTGAGGCCAAATCGCGAACCACTAATAATCAACTTTTCTCAGCATGAAAAGTTTAAAAGTTGTTTTGCCTTGATTTTGCAGCTTGGTCAGATTGGTAGGAAGAACTAGAGGAACGGACCTAGTCCGGAGTCTATAGTATGCATAATAATTTCCAGTCGGAAGGTGGACGTGGTACATTCCCAAACGTTTCGCCGGAATCAAAGTCGTCATCGTCAATGAACCTTGTCATTCATAGAGATAAATCTCTTAGACGAGCTGTAGTGTGGTGCTAAGAATTGCAAGGCTCATTGACGATGCTGGCGAAAGGTCTGGAGACGTAGCAAGTCCACGGTCTAAATATGGAAATTATCTTGCATACTATAGACTCTGGACAAAGTGTGTTCCTCTAGATCTTCCTGCCATTATGGCCAAGTTGCGAAAACACGGTCAAACAACTTATATACAAGGAAAGGGAACGGAGATCATACAAAAGGCCATCTATTTTGGTCTTTATACCTTCGATGAAAAGTTTAATTACACTAATTTATTTTGATTTTTAACCCCATTTGAAAATAAGTCATAATATTATTTCTAGCCTCTAAATTTAATCTTGGCAATATTTATGACTCTAGACATGTATTATATCATGTGTGCTCAAGAATTTATATTCACTGTATTTATGGTGACCAAGTTCCACTCCCTATATTCAAATAAACATTTGTGATGTTTAATTCAGAGACTTCCTTGTTTCATAAAATTTATTAATGATAAGGTTCAAGTGACCGCTATTTTGAATATAATAATAGGGGAATATTTACACTTCGCTTTGGTGATTTTGGCAACATGAATTACGCAAGAATTTTCATTCACTATTTAGTTTTGGCTTATTTAAGCTTATATATATATAAGATATTTATTTGTTATTGTCATTTTAGACAAAAAAAATATTTAATAATTTAATTAGCAAGTATTAAAAGAGCTTTTGGTTCCTCCCCGTATATAGATAGCTGTATCCACTTTCTCCAAGCAAAGTACATATCTCGAGGCGATTTTGTACAAAAGCTAGCTAAAAGATGGCTTACAACTAATGGGCATCTATAAGTGTTAACCTTGCTCCTTGTAATAGATTCGGCATCCAAATACTAGGGAATCATATAAAGCAGAAAATTAGGAAATCCAGATAAATTTTGTGCAACTTAAAAAATTTCATATGGGCGTTTACTTCTACAAAATAAATCTACTCATTGTTTGCCCGCGATTGGCATGGGGAACTAAAAAAGCAGCAAATGCAAAAAATGGGAGAACTGTTAGCCCTCGATGGTTGTACTTGGAATCATCTTCAAAAATATTAGAAATATTTTACTTTTACTGGCACAATATAGACAATATGTTATTATACTTTTTACGCTTTTCTTGGAATACACTTCAGTTTTCCATAGTTTTGAACATTCTACTCCCCTCAACTTTAGCTTTGTCTATCTTCTGCCTAGCCAAACAATATAAACATAGAATTATCGAAGTTATGAAGACCAAGATGGTATGACCTTTTGTGTAGTTTCAGTCTCTTCTCTTTAAATACAAGTTGTTTGACCTTGTTTTAGCAACTTGCTCATATTGGCAGAAAGACTTAGAGGAACGAACCTAGTCTGGAGTCCTTAGTATGCAGGATAAATCCCAGAGTTGGACCGTGGATGTGGTACATTTTCAGACATTTCGCCAGCATCGTTAGTCAGGACTGCCAGTCTTAGCACAACACTACGACTCGTCAAAGAGATAAGTGAAGCCGATCCTTAGACCAATCGACTGCTAAACAATCGTGATATGTCTCCTTTTGCCCTGAGCTAATCACCAATTATATATCCTTGTATCACGCCTTCACCATCACAATTTTTACTAGCTTATTTAAAAGTGATAGTGTTCCATTTTGAGCGTAATTTCATGGGAACTCTCCACACTAAACGCTGGCTTTCTCACATAATCACTCACCTCAACCCCATTCACCCTTGTGCTGGGAATATTGATCAGAGTCTGCTCTATTGATACGCACTCCCTCTTGCGTAGGTATTATCAGAGTTTCCCTCTTATACCGTAGTATCCGTCTGCTATCTCCCTGATTCAAGTATTTCACTCTACCCGTGCCACCTTATTGGTGCTACTCTAGGTGTTATTTCCCACACTCTTTCTCTTGGACACTAACTTGAGACTTAAGCCCTTAAATAATTCTCATGGCCAAGCCTTTGCTTGATGGACCACTGCTTGCTTTGATTAGGTTCAATGCTGAAACACAACATTTGTGGGTTGGCTCACAAGAGACTAGGGCATAGGAAGTCATAGACTAAGTATTAGGGATGGAAACATGATAGACGCGGTGGGGACTAGAGCTAATTGGCCGACATTATAATAGTTTTACCATAGTTTTAGTCCATCAAGCAAAGGCTTTATCATGAGAATTACTCAGGGGCCCTAGCCTCAAGTTAGTCTCGAAGAG